CTGGACAAGCTGATCACTGACAGACCCGAGAGCTGCAGGCAGCCCAGCAAACAGGCAGAGCCCGAGGTCTCCACCCTGAGCCACCTGGCAGCCCACGGCCGGATCTCCATGGCCCAGCTGCAGCCCCAGCCCCTCGTCACGCTCTCGCTGCAGCCCCTGCCCCTCCACCACCAGCTCCAGGCCCAGGCTCGAATCGCCCCGGACTCCCCAGCGCCTGCCCAGACTCCCCCCCTGCACACCCTGCCCGACATGAGGCACAGCCCCCTGCCCCACCAGCCCCTGGCACGAGCCCCACCGGACTTCCTGAGCCTGCCCGCAGACATGGGCACGGAGGTGGATGCTCTTGACCCCAGCATCATGGATTTTGCATTGCAAGGTATGGGAGAAGGAAGCTGGGCAGGGGAGGGTGTGGTTTGTGTCATGACTGAGTATACAAAACCAGGTTCCTCAGCAGGACGCCGAGGGGGAGGTTTAGGTTGGATAGTAGGAACAATTTCTCCACTGAAAGGGGTGTCAGGCTCTGGCACAGGCTGCTCAGGGCAGTGGTGGAGTCACTATCCCCGCAGGGATTTAAAAACCATGTAGGTGTGGTGCTGAGGGACACGGTTGAGTGGTGGCCCTGGCAGGGCTGGGTTAATGGTTGGTTAAAGGTCTTTCCCAACTATAACGATTCAGTGATGCTGTGCCCTGAAGTGGGATGTAACTGAGCTAAACATTTGTGCTGGGTGCTGGTTTCTGCAGCCTGACTCCCTGGCCCTTCCTCAGTGCACTCCCAGCCCCTGCTAGATGGGACAGCAAAGGAGAACCTCCCCTGCTTATGATGGTGGCCAGCACGGCCCCTGGGCTTCTGTTTAGTGTGTGGTAGATAGAAGATGCCTGGGAAAGTCTGGACTCCTGCTGGAGCCAGGGGATTGGAGGGAACAGACCCCCTTTCTGCCTCTGCCCTACAAAGGGCACCACGGGCAGGTGAAGGCAAAGCCCTTCAGCTACGGACTGACCTCCCCTCCAGTACCCGGGTGGGTTGGATGTGTTGCTGTGACCAGAATTCAATCTTTTAAAGGTAACATATGGGAGGACATGAAAGATGACAGCTTCAGCCTTGACACCCTGGGTGCCTTCAGCAACTCCCCCCTCCACCTGTCAGACTGTGAGCTGGGCACCCCCGGGCTCACCCCGGCCTCCAGCGGCAGCGACCACTCCTGCTCCGACCTGCAGGTCACCGGCCTTTACACCACCTACACAGCACTGGACAACGTGGCAGCAGCTCAGTACATGAACCCCCAAGGCAACAAACCCATCCCTCTGCTCTAAGTTTTGCACCATCCCCAGGGAACAGCTTCTCCCAGCCACTGCAATCCGACCTGAAAGCAACGACGGGTGCTCCTCCTGCAGGCACTTGGAGCGTGGTGGCTGCTCACGGGGACACAGCGTGTGATGCCAAAATAAAGCAAATTGGTAGTGGTAGAACCACTTTCACCCATGGCAAAACTGAGGAAGGGGCATGGACACTTGTATCACGGGACTGGTGAGCTCTCCAAAAGGACCTGGAAGGCATCAGTCGACAGGAACTTTCACCAGAAGGTAACTGAGCCAAGAATAGTCCCACTAAGGTAAAAACACTGAATAGAAACTGTGACCTGGACTGAGATGTGGACAAAGTTTGGTCACCACCTACACAGAAGCCAACCCAGGTCAAGGGGCTGGTCAGCACCAAGCTGGAGTCCAACACAGCTGATCATGTACTGTGTACATCTTGTTTTCTTAATTTGCCAACTAACTATTGCTGTTAAACAAAGACCACACAGTTTCTGGAGGCACTTGCACCACTAACACTTTTCTGACCTAACTACTGTTAATTTATTATGAGGTCAGAAAAAAAGGAGCAAAAATATTTAAAAGGGAAGATCAAACCCACAGCAGACAACTGTTACATCTGGGTTTAATAACAAAGTCCTTGCCCCACCATGAAGGATGTGGTACTCCTGGGTTATTAAACTGATCACTGGCTAGAAGATTTTAGGAATTATGCCTATTTTTAGGAGTTTTTAAAAAAAATATTAGACTTGTTTATAGTCTTGTGTATTGTGCTTCTGTCTATTCTTGTGTTAGGCAGTATTACTATTTGTAAATTTATTTATATTTATTGTTATGAAGGTGAAAGAAATTATGTAAACTGAGCACTGTTCAATTTTTTAAATGCTGCAGTAACCTGTTGTACATCCACTAAGTTATTCATAATCAAGAATGCAACCCTTCTAGTCACTGTTGTTCTACTACATTTACTTTAAATAAGCACTTTTGATACTGTGAAACTCATGTTTAAAAAAAATAATTCAGAGACCAAATATTGTAAGTGTGCTCTGTGGATTTAGAACGATTTTCATTCCTAATTAACCAAGTGAAACTGATGCTAATGTAGTGGGGGTTTTTTTTAAGTATTCAAACCCTGCTTTGTACTTGGTAACATATGTTGCAAAAAGTGGGATGAAACATCTGAAAATCTAAACAACAAACTGTAACTGAGCATTTCATCTACTTACACTTCTGTGACCTTGAAGGAATATTTATCTCTCACGTTCTGGCTGTTCCTCTGCGTTAGCAGCACATCCCAGCCTGTCAGTGCCTGGTATTGTATCCTCATGCTCACAGGCTCCTTTCTCCCTCACTGCTCCATGTGCCGTGGGATGAAACATCTGAAAATCTAAACAACAAACTGTAACTGAGCATTTCATCTACTTACACTTCTGTGACCTTGAAGGAATATTTATCTCTCACGTTCTGGCTGTTCCTCTGCGTTAGCAGCACATCCCAGCCTGTCAGTGCCTGGTATTGTATCCTCATGCTCACAGGCTCCTTTCTCCCTCACTGCTCCATGTGCCTGTGGCTGGAGGGTGCTGGATGCTGGAGCCACTCCAGAGTGGCACCTCTTTGCTTGCAAACCACAGCTGTGAGGATCAGGGGCTGGAAAAAGGCCGTGCCTGGATCTCCCCCAGCGCGTGCGTCCGCGGCAACCTCTTCCAAAAGGGCACGATGCTCCACGTCATAATTTATTGTTCAAGAACAAATGTGATGAATGATCAGATGCTGTGACTGGCGTCATCTACGATGTCTTCATTTTTAAAAATAAATATTTCTTAGCACTAAGCCTGGCTCATTCTAGACGTGCTGCATCAGAACCGCTCGAGCGCTGCGGCCCAGAGTTACACCAGCATTCCCAGGGATCTGCTGCTGGAGATCCAACCCAGCCAGGAAGGAGTTTCACACAGCTTACAGATGGTGACAGATGGATAAAGCTCAGCCACGTTTGGCTTCAGCCACAGTGTCCCAGTGTGCTGTGGAGCAGGCCCTTCTCTTCAATCTAAAACTTGTATGTTTACAGGCCACCACTAACAGACAAGCACAAAGCATCAGTGCACAAAGTATTTGTAGGACTTAGCTCTAAAACAGCAGCTTCCCCAGGCTTCATTGCCCTTACAGACCACACTATGTCCAAGGCAAGGGTTTGTCCTTCCAGTAGAATAAGAGTTTGCAGGTATTTACTGTATGAACTCTTTCATCTATGCTGTCAACCTATACCTCAAAGTCTCTGCAGGTAAATGGGTGGAAAAGCTCCACTTGAAGGACAGGTGCTGGTGGGAGGGGTGCTGAGAGCTGCTCTGCACTGGGACAGGTTCTGTGCTGCCAAGACACTGGACCATGCTCAGATCTGCTGTGTTCATGCAATGACACAAGAGAGAGAGGTCAGGCAAACTCCCTGGAGAGCTGAGCTCCCTCTATTGGTGGGGGTTTGGCTCCAGTACAGCCAACATCCACAGCCCTTCCCTGACAGGGACACCTTTCAAACCAGAAAGCATCTCGCAATGCTCCTTCCACCCCCAGGACAAGGAGACAATCCCTCCCCACAGCTCCTGGGGGGCTTCCCCAGTCCAGGAATGACCAGGGGGGTGTCCAACAGCCCCACTCCACAGCAACACCAGCACTGCACTCCAACCGGGCATTCCCCCTTCCATCACCTCCACCTTTGCAAGCCAAAACTAAACCTGTGCTGGTGAAATGACAAGCCCACACAGCCGGTGGGTCTGGAGAGCCCAGAGCCCAATTTCCTTTCCATTACCCAAGCTGATTAAAGGCCACCCAATAAGCCAGGTCTGGGTCTGAGCAGATGGAGAGCTCATGCTGGCTCCTGTGCTTCAGCAGAGGAACTGGGTTAGCAGGGCAGGAGCACCCAGAGCTGTGTCCTCCCTCCTCTCCATCCTCTGCAGGATGGCCAGAGAGGGCACGAGATAGACGAGAGAAACAGTTGGGTCAGTCAAACCATGGTGAATCCATTGATGTTCCTGCCTCAGCAGCTCCCAGCACAGCTCACTGGCATCTCTTCTGCACCATCAGCTACTCATAGTCACATCTGCTGATCACTGGCCAATGAGGGAAAGGATGAGACAAACTGCTCCTCACAGTTCTTGAGTTTATTTTTTAAAACATCAGTCTGAGACTGTGTCTTCAGCAGGGTTACATTTCCTCATGCTGGTGCCTAATCAGCCTCAGCACAGCTGTACAGATACAACGTCCTCCTTCATCCTGCTTCCTGGTGTCTAGGCCAGTCTCTTTCCAGCTCCATCCAGTCTCATGAGATGTGTCTGACACTGGTGCTTGTTTCAAAGACTAAGGCCAGGGCTTGCAACTAAAACACAGCAACAGACTTTAGATTCTTTTAAAAATTAACTTCTGCAACAGATCCAGACTTGGCTCAGGACAGGCTAATCTTTGGCCAAGCCACCCCTCTGATGAACAGCCCCAGTGCCAGAGGGAACAATGCATGGATGGCAAGACCATCTTCATGGCTTAGAATACAAACACTGGCATCCTTTATTTAGGCACACGAGTAAGAGTGCAAGGCCTCGGTTCAAGGGCTGAGGAACCAGGTGGGAAGGTGAGGTCTGGCCTCTGAGCAGCAGTATGTCCTGGTGCCCCTCCTGCCCTGCATGCTGCTGGCCTGCAGCTCAAGGTGGGTTGTCATCATCTACTGTTGAAAGGAGATGGGCGATGTGGGCCTTCTGAGCCCGGGTGACGTGCTGGGTCATCTGGATGATGCAGTCCATGGCCATCTCTGGATTGGCTTGGATCAAGCTGCAAGGCAGAGGGAAGAAGGCATCTGCCTTGGAGGCTAAAGCACGAACCACCTCATCTCCTCCACCTGCTCTCCCCAGCCCAGGGGACAGCATTGTCTGCCACATCCTGGCTCCTGTGGCCACTCACCCCTGGACGTGCTTGAGCATGTAGTCCCTCTTCAGGTACTTGATGTTCTCCCGGATGGCTGACCGGGCGTCTTTGTCCTCTTGCATGTGTTTCTCCAGCCACTCCACCACCACCTGGTTGTTGTCCCAGAGGTAGCCCTGGAGAGAGCAGCACCATGGGCAGGGGCTCCTGCTGCCTGCACAGTCTGAGCTCCCTCCTTTCTCCTCTGTCCTCAGGCTTATTCCTCACTTGGCAAAAGAGCTGAGACAGCCCTGGAGAGATTCTGGCTGCAGGAACTCTTTGGGAAGCTGGGTTGGGGGTACCTTCTCAGCTCCTTCTGTCTCCATGAACCAGCGCCGCAGCATGGACTGGATGTGGATGTGGCTCAGCTCACTGTTGGCCTTCAGCACCTCTGCCTTCACCATCTCCTCCAGCAGCAGCCGCCGCAGCCGCCAGTAAAGGAAAGAGCGGGCGTTCTTCCACTCCAGGATGTCCTGCAGAAATGGGGACACAGCCCAACATGGCCTTTGCAGAGAGAAGAGGAGCTGGTGGGCAGTGGCTGCTCACTGGCGGGTGTGAAGGCAGCTCTGCTCGGCTGGAGCAGAGAGCAGCACCCAGGGCAGGAAGGACACATTTTGCTGCAGCCCAGACCCCCAGGGGAAGCCTCTCACCTTTGCACCACTGCAAACCCCTGAGCAGCCCCTGCCCACTGCTGCGAACCCTCTGAGCAGCCCCTGCCCACTGCTGCAAACCCCCCGAGCAGCCCCTGCCCCCTGCTCTGCTCCCCACTCACGGTGATGACGCCCTTCTCCTGCATGCGGCCCGGGGTGTCGTGCAGGTCAGCAAAGCGCACGGCTACCTGGTGGTACACGGGCAGGAGCAGCTCCTCCCGGGCCTTCAGCTGCTTCTCCAGCTCCCTGCGCTGTTCCTTGGGCAGCTCAGGGTTCCCTGTAGGACAGGCTTTGCTGAGCAGTCCACCCACCACCCCTGTGACAGGGTCCACAGGCCACCACTGGGGTTGGGCTCCGCTCAGCGCTCCCACATCAGTCACCCCCACCAGGAAACTGGGCTCCCAGTGTCATGTCCCTTTGCTTTGGCACAGTTAGACCCCTGCACGGCTCTAGAATGGCTGTGTGGTCTCAGTAGGTACTGATCCAGCATGACCATTGCCATTCTTCATCTCAAATCATGGGAGAGAAGTCCAGCATCATTCAAGGAGCCCCAGGAGATACAAGTGTTTTAAGGTACCACCACATCCTCTTGGCAGGCTTCACCATCAGAGAAGCCATGAAGAATTTTCACAGAGGAGCACTAAAGGATTTTCTGGTGGTTGCCACCATGGTGTTTGAGCCTCATGTTTTAACTTACTGCTGCCAATGCCCACAGGCTGAAACACCCTTACCCAGCTGCTCAACAAGTTTGGCATAGACTGTATCGATCCTTCTCATGGTCTTCACCAAATCTTTCTTCCTGAACTTGATCTCCACTGTTCCTCCAGGCTCCAAAATGCCTCCCCTGGAAGGAAATTTTGGTAAAGCATGGACTGGTCTGCATAGGAGAATAAATCCTGGGATAAGAGGTCCAGGCAACTATCTGTTCCAAGAATTATGGAGAAATAAAAGCTTAAAAGGGTTTTGTTTCCAGTCTGGGATTCTTGTGTGTCCTCCCACATCTTACAGCTTGCTCCAATGTGCATACATTCAAGTGAGAGAAAAGGACTCCTGACCTGTAGAACCCTGTTTTATTTGTCCACAGCCTTCACTGGATGCAGGAGGATATCCTCAAGGAGATAGTCACCACACTGCCCTGGAACATTTAGCTCTTGGCTCTGATTAACTCAAGGGTAAAAAAATACACATCTCCAGCGAGCAGAGGGCTCTGCCAGTGTGACCATGACTCTGCAGACCTCAGGCACCCGCTCTCATTTCTCTGCACGTGGGGCACGGAGCAGGAACATGTGTTTCAGACACTGACCTGCTCTCCTTGTCTGCATAGAGCTCCACGTGCAGGGGGTTGATGGTGGAGTCGATGACCACCCAGGAGCCTCCCCGCAGCTCCGCGTGCGGGGGAATATAGACCAGGACAGGCTGCTTGAAGTCCCGGAGGCTGTCGACAATGAAGGCACCGAACTTCAGCATTTGGTCGTACATGTCTGAAAGCCAAAGGGACTCAGTGGCTGGGTGTCCCACCTGCTGTGGGCCAGGATATTGGCCCTTGCCTCCTCCTAGCAGCCCAAAGCCACCTTCTCCTTTGGAGACACCAAACAAGCACCCACAAAACAGCTCAACAGGAAGCCCTGGGACCTGGGTCCTGGTGATGTCCCATCACCTCCCCAGCCCAACCAACCCCACATCCCACAGTGGTGTGGGTAGAATCCTGGCATGCTGGGTCATCCCAGAATCTGAGGGGTGGCAGGAGTGCTGGCAGCAAGGGTACGACAGAGGGAGCTGGGCACCCCAAGCGTGGATACCTTTCATTCCACTGGAGAAGCCTCGCCAGTTGGCAAAGATCATCAGTGGGAGATGCTCCCGGTTGAAGTCCCGAATGACCTGGGCTGTTTTAAAAGCAGAGTCTGGAAACCAGACCTGCCCAGCCTGCTGGATTATCTGGAAAAGACAGGGAGTGGCAGTGCTGAGATGAGTGCTGGTGCTTCCCAGCACACTGCACTGGCAGCTCGGCAGCACAGTGTGAAAGGGCTGAAAGCAAACTGGCTGAGCACACTTCATTTAATCGCTCTTCAAGGGAAGTATTTCAAAGGACAACAAAGGATATTTCAAAGGACAACACTCAGCTTTTCCCCTGCTGTCCCCTGCAGCCTCCTCCTGGCTGCCACTCGGACACACTAAGGTCTCCCCCACTTACCTTTGCCTCCGACTCTGGGTTGGCAGGGTCTGCAGGGATTGCCACCTCCACGGTGCGGGTCTCGACGGCGATGACACCCACTGGGAGACCTCCCAGCCTGCAGCAAGGCAGGATGGCCTCAGCAGAGACCAGCTCCCCTCCATGCTGCACTCCAGCCCAACCAGAGAGGTGCTTCCCCTCCACCTCCCAAAAGCAGTGCCACAGAGCTCAGGAGCCCTTGGCCATGCATGCAGGCTCCCAGCACTGCTCTCTGCCCCGGGCCTACAACCCTTGCTCCTGGTAGTACCTTGCTCTGCCAACCACAACTGTCTGAGCCCATGGTCTCATGATCTCCAAGAAGCTGCCCTGGTCAAAGAAGCCACTCTGCCAGGTCCCCTTCTGAGCTGCAAAGCACAGGGAAAAGTGAAGCTGTGCGGTAGTGTTGAAGGGCACCAACCCACAGCAAAAAGCACCTTCTGCACGAGGATGGGGAGAGCTGCAGCCACAGGATGTTTGGGAGTGTTGCTACAGAGGTCTCAGGCTGCCCTCACTTACTTGGATGAGGTCTTCCTGCCAGCATCCACCTGGGGTCATAGGGGACTTTGGAAGGGACAAATTCGATTTCTCTTTCAATGGGGTCACTTATGGCAGTGATGGGCACTGGGCTCTTGTTATCCTGCAGGGCAGAGCCCCAGAGAGCAGATCACCAACCTGTCACAGGCAACAGCCCACAGCTGTGGCCTGCAGCACCCTCCTACCTTGGGTATGTATGAGAGCCACTGCAGGATGGTGTAGACCCCCTCAAAGTCATCTGGGACAGTGACATGGGAAACTCCGTTATTGTGCATGATCTGCACACCTCCCAGCTGGTTATTGGATGTGTAAACCTCCCGGCCCAGCACCTAACCAGAATTGTTGACAGAAACACAGGTCACTCTCTGCTAACACAGGAGCTGCTCCTCCTTGTTCTGTTTGAGTCAAACCTCCATACAGGCACGTTCCCTCTGGTTTGAGGCTGAATTTCCACCCCTGCCTACCAGGCTGATGCTAAAGCAAAGGGATCCTGCTTCAGCCAAGTGCACAGGTTTAGCTGAGCAGGTTTCACATCAGCTCAAACCAGTGTCATTCTGCCCAGGAGGGACAGACACATGCTAGGGAAGACACGTGGCTGGAGTGTGATACCTTATTGAGAGCAGTGACACCAGTGAGGATGATGTGGGAGTTCTCCACCTGGATGACACGCTGGCCCAGTCTCACCAGGTAGGCACCAATCCCAATGGCACGACAGGACACCTGGGCACACACAGAGACACGAGGGGTTACTGGGGAGAAATGGCTGCAGCAGAGTCCATGAGCACCAGGTGACCTTAAAAACAAGTAGGAGAGAGGGAAGGAGAAGAGCAGGGGAGAGACCCATGGCTGTACCATACTGATGGTCACTATTTCATCATAAGCACGAGAGGACTCCCCAGCAATGGTGCCAGCAGCTCTCAGGTTTTCCACCCCAAATCCATTCTCCTTCCCGATGATGTCCAGCAGAACGTACCTGCAGGAAAGCAGAGCCATGGTGGCATGGGCAGGAGAGGGGGAGGTACTTGCTTGCATGATGTGTCTGGCAGGACACTGAGACTGAATTTGGGAGCTGCATCCAGCAGGGATGCTGGGTAAGGCTCAGGGCAGTTCTATGGTGTATGGGAGAGTGGGGCTTACCTGGACTCACCCCCTTCCTCCACGTGCTCACAGTGCACCGAGTTCATGGTACTGATCCTTTTGTAGTCCTGGGGAGTCAGGTACAGGTACTTGAACCCCTGGAAATAAAGACGAGGAGTTGTGCACACTCACACATGGGACACGCCCCTCTCTAAATCCAGCCCAAACTCAGCCCATGCATCAGCAGTGGCTCATGGGCCAGGGCTGGAGAGAGCAGCCACGCCAGCACTGGCACCTTTATCCCCACCATGCTGGGAAAGCAGAGGAAACCACCCCACAGCAGCAGGCGCAGCTGCGAGCTCACCCCCTGGCACTGATCCCACAGTTTTCTCCCCTGGTTTAGCTCTGACCCTTCCTCCCCCAAACAACCCCTCTGCTGTTTCCTGCGACAGCAAGGAGGGGAGGTGCCCACACACCTTGTAGGGCTCTGCAGGGTCCTCCCAGGCCACCTGGAACATGTGCTTTATCTCCTCAGCGAAGCCGATGCGGGCGCCGCTGTTGGCAGCGATGTAGACGCGGGGGACGCCCTCGGCCCGCGCCAGCTGCGAGGCCCTCAGGAACACCAGGTCCTCCTCCGGCCCGAAGGACCCGATCTTGTGGGTGATGTCGTTGCAGATGAGCACGATGTCCCGGCCTTCCGGGTACTCGGGGGTCTTCAGCTTCATTTTGAAAGCAACCATCCCCACCTGCCCCAAAACAGCACGAGGTCACATTGCTGGCACCTCCAGAGAAACAGGGCCTGAGCTGCAGAGTGTGTTCACCAGCAGGCAAAATGCTTGCTTGAGGAGCATCTCCCAGGCTTTCAACACAGCCAGACCAGGGAAGCCACCAGTCATTCCCACCTGCTGCAGCACAGCTTCCCCCTCACCCCTCTCTCTTTCTTCCCCCATTCCCAAATCGTTCTCTACTACCTCGTTCCCTCCAGGGACCCTGTTCATCTGCACGAGGTTCCCGTGTGAGTCCAGCACCAGCTCAGTGTATGTCAGGACATCCTTGGGATACAGGTCTGAGGAGCCCCATAGCTTGAAGAGAGCCTGCAGAGACATGAAGGGGTCTTTTACCCAGAAGGGAAGAACTGTGGAGAGTGGGGAAGAAAACCAAATGCAGAGATTTGAAGCCTCTTTTTGCTTAGCCAGACTCACCTGCCTGATCAGCTCTGGGAAATCATACACGTAGGTGGTGCCCAAGGACTGTGCCTGGAACCGCTTTGCCTGAAGCAGGTCCTTGGTGACATAGGGGGTGTTGATGAGCATCCCGTGCTGTGGCCCTTGCTTGTTCCCAAACGACTGAAACATGATCTGGAGAGAAGGGCAGAGCATAGCTGTGTTATCTTGGCCAGGTGAGGCCCCTCTGCAATGCTAGGGTGCAAGAGTCCCACAGGGCTGCTGAGATTTGCCTGGCCATGATGCTCATGCCCATGGCTCAGCTCAACTGAAAACTATGATTTTCTACCTCATTCTTTGCTATTGAGGGGACAGAGGACAACAGTGCTGTGCTGCAAGTACCAGTAACACCCTAACACTGACCTTCACCTCCCAGACCAAAAACTGCCTAACTGTGCACCAGCAACAGTCTTGGGGCTCAGCACTGTTGTGGAGCAAAGCATCACCCTGAGATGCCCAACTGGATGCAGCACAGAGGGGACTGAAACTAGGCCAGCTCTGGGAATGCTGCACAGTCCTGGGGGCTCTAGGGGAGACCAGCACTGCAGGAGCATGAGGATTTTTGCAGAAGCCACCCTAAAATTGTTCCATAGCTGATAGCTGCCCAAACAGCCATAGCTGGGTTCCCGTTTGCAGGCGCTGCCTGTGCTTACTCACACTGCCAGTGCTGGGGTCCCTCACTTCTTTGTAGAGGCTGATGTCCAGGTAGTAGCCAGACTCGTTGGTGATGAAGAGGCGGATGGGGATGGCGGGGGCAGAGGGCGTCAGGCGGATGTTGATCTTCACCTCAGCCTGCAGGACCCGCAGCTTCCAGAGGCGGCTCCCGTAGCGCATCACCATGGACCGCACTGACTCCTCGATCTGGGCACGGGACAGCCCACAGGTGGGTCTGTGGCCCCAGGGACAGCACTGTCCCCAGTGCCAAGGCTGGAGCATCCTTATCACATCTCATCCCCAACAGTCATTTCAGATTTGCTTTGGGCAAGCCCCTTCCCTCCCTCCATCCCTGGGGGCTGATGGACTATCCACTGCAGAGAGGGGAAGATGGTGCCCCACAGCCTCCTGAAGGGACACAGCCCCACTCATTCAGACCACACACTGCCTGAGGGAAGAGCCTGCCACCTGTCTTCATGCCCTCCAGCAAACTGCCTGCTTCTCCAGGCCTGTACAAAAAAACCTTGACCATTGCAAAGTGTGAAACCTCAGCACCTCCCAGCAAGCAGTCCACAGCGAGGGTCTGACGCAGAAACCAAGCGGCAGGAGTCTCTGGGGCAGCCAAATCCATCCCCCTTCTAGGGTCACGTACACTTCTAGGGAAGCAGAACACTGAGAAACACACCTTGGAAGGGTCCATGACGACCTTTGGGACAAAGTTGAGGAAGATGTGGTTACAGTCGGTGCGGACGGTGGTGTTGTTGAAGGCCACCTCCAGCTCATCCATCGCCTCCAGCAGCAGCCGCTCGCTCTCATTCTGCAGGTACTCAAAGGAAGCCTCCTGCAGTGCACCGGCCAGTCAGGGCTGGTCAGAACAACCCAAAAACACATCCCCCACCTCCGCCCGGGCAGCCGGGGGGCCCCGGCACCGCCTTGCCTTGGTGATGAGGTCCGAGTGGCGCACGATGGCGCGGATGAAGAAGCGGCAGTCGGTGGCCTCGGCACCCGCTTGCACCTTGGCAGCTCCCAGGTAGAGGTGCATCTTGTGGTTGGCACAGGGGATGGCCGTCAGGTCGAAGTTGCGCATGCGGCTCAGCTCCAGCTGGAAGGCCAGCGCCGGCTCCAGGTGCCGGTAGATGCGGTCCTCTGCAAACTGGGGCCATGGCGGGGGCTGAGCGAGCGGCCGGCAGCCAGCACCGGCCAGACCCTGCTCTCGCCACAGCTCCTACCTCATCCCTGGCTCTGAAGGTGAAGAACTTCGGGAATTCTCTCTAGAGCGAAAGGGAGAGGAAGCTCAGTGTCAGTGCTCCTGGCATGCAGAGGGCTCGGCCGGTTTTCAGTGAAATTGTTGAAAGGGAAAACTTGCAGGTTTGCTCCTCCCACAAAGGGAGTGACCAGTGCCTTTGAGAGGCAACATAAACCATGTGGCCACGCAGGAACCACACGGTACTGGAGACCTTAGCAGCACAAAGGATAACACAGGAGGTGAATAATTCATTGAATCCCTCCTTAATTGTTTCTCAGCTCCTGTGCAGTAGGTATGTCCATCAAGCAATGCCATGTCTACAAGGTATTTATAGATATTTCTAGGGGTTCTAGGCAGGTGGAAGCACAATGTGTCTGAGGTCCCTCTGCTGGACAGCAGCTCAGTCTGCACTCACCTGCTGGGCAATGAGAAACGTGATTCTGCGGAGACCACAGTCAACAAGGATGTTTTTCTACATGGAAACAGAAGAATCCATCAGCCATGAGAGCATAAACATTTCCACCAAGGGAGCAAACAAAACCCTAGTGGTTTCCATAGGGTGCAGCGTTTTGGGGAGCACTGCATGGGGATGAGGTAGCACCTTGGGATATGGTGCCCTGGCTTGCAGGTCTGCAAAAAGGGGGTCCAGCCCCAGAAACAGACCTTGGACTGGGCAAAGGCTCTAAAGATGGGCACCAGCTTCTCATCCTCTGCGCATTCGGCACAGTGGAGTGCTATGTTGAGGATGTGGATTGGCTCCTCACGGAGGCTCTAGTAACAAAACCCCCAGTTAGCCCTGCCCAGCAGCACCACTGCCATCCCAGCACCACCTGGGGAGGCAGAAATGGCCTCATGCCCACCTTGGCATCCTCCTCCTCATAGACGGTGGCTCGTGCCTCGCTGAAGAGCGCGCTCTCTGAAGGCGGGTTGGCAAAGCACGAGATCACTTCATCGAAGTTCCTGCCCAAACAGTGGGGATGGGGTGACAAGTCAGCAGGTTGTGCCAACCCCCTGCCTGAGGGAACAGCACCAGGACTCGCTGTGGAAGAGATGCAGGTGCCAGCATGGTGGCCTGGGTGGCACACTCTGGCTCAGCAGGGCTCCACCAGCCCATGGCAAAGCCACAGCTCCACTGTGTTAATGTGCAGAGATGCTTAGCCCACCCCACACGTCCCCAAATGACATGTCGTGTCCTCACCACTTAACTGTTGTACTGAAAATACCACTCGTCCCCAAACTCTGGCTGCAGGTGGAACATACGCTGCCCCAAGCACTGCCCAGCTGCCACCAGTTTTGGATCTTCCACACACATTTGCTCTTTAATGACCACAGTGGTGCCCAAAGTACACATGCAGGACCAGCCAGGCACATGCCTGTCTCCTCACCTTGTGAAGTCCTCAAATTTGTTGAAGGCCACCATGGCTCCCATCCGCTGGCTCAGGGGAGAAAAGCCACTGTCCATGAAGAGCTCAGTGCTGTGCCTGACCAGGTCAGGGTTGGAGATGCTGACAGGGACAGACAATCTGTGCGAGGGAGCAAGGCAACCATCAACCATTAGTGGTGACTCCTGGGTCCAACAGGGACCAAGCAGGACCCTGACCCGGAGGAGGCTCATCCTGCTCCCCTGGCAAAGGGAGAGTGCAGGGTGCAGTTCCCTCTCAGAGTCCTGTGTTTTGTGTGGAGGAGAAGGCACAAACCAAACAGCTTTGCAAAACAAGGACCATGTCCAGGGGAGCAGGCCGGGTATGCAGATCCCCCCATACCTGTTGGGGTGGGAGGAGGGCAGTATGAACTGGAACTCCACCAGGCAGGTGCCATCCGAGAGCTGCCGGTGCTGCAGGCTGTTCAGCTCGTAGGCGATGTAACCGCGCCGCACGTACACCTGGGAGGGGCACAGCAGGAGGTATCACCATGTCCCTGCTCCCACTGCACCCACCCACGCCACCCCAGGGCTCGTGTGCCCCCACAGCCCCCCCAGCCCTCACCTCCAGCGCTGCCATGCGCACCACCTGGTTGGTGTGGTAGAAGAAGGTGGGGAGCACGTCAAAGATGCTGGTTTCTGAGAGGATCAGAAGTAAGACCCCCTTGCCCCACCACAGGATAGAGGAAGCACGTTCCAGAGGGGTCCCTCAATGTGGGGCTACACAACACCAGCACCAGGGTGCTATGGGACACCCAGCCCACTGTGGGGACACTGCCAGACCCACAGGTGGGTCCACACACCAGTTCCCTGACAAATGGGGTGAGGAGCAAGGGACAGACAGCAATGAGATGCACCCCCTCCTCTGCTCTGCACAGGTACAGACACTGCAGCAAAGCTTTGCTTTTTAGCTGTTTTTAAAGCTAAACCACTTTCAGCCAGAGCTCCTCACCAGACCCACCCCAAAGCCAAATTCCCTCTGCAGAAAATCACGCGATTCCCAACCTTCAGGTTTTCAGGGCAGAACTCGTGTCCATACATGTCGATAGCAGAGAGGAAGATGGACTCCACCTGGTTGTGCCGCAGCTCGTAGGAGGGCAGGTGAGAGGCAATGAGCACCTGCAAGGGGAGAGGTGGCTGGGAGCACAGGGGACAGGGACAGAGACAGGGACAGGGACAGCACAGCGCTCGCTGACCTGCCGGGCTCTCAGCGCCACTTTGGAGTGCTCGGTCTTGCTGAGCTGGGTCAGCTCGTTGAGGATGGCTGTCAGCTCGTCTGTCAGCGTGGGGTCACGGCCACAGAGCTGGTCCTGCAAGGCACCCACCACCACGGCTCAGCTCCATCCCGCACCCCCAGCCCCATCTGGGCAAAGGGGGCAAGAGCCAAGGTGCTAAAATAGGCAAAATTCTGCTCTTTAAAAGCAAGAGCAGCTATGCAACCCTACAGAGGGGAGGCAAGGTCTCCCTAAAGAGGCAGGGATGGACACTTGAAAGCCAAACCCAAAATGAGGAGCAGAATGGCAGTTCCTCAGGTGTCTGACCACTTTGAAGGGGAAAGCACAGGACTGTGAAAGCCACCTGCAGCCACATCCCATCCCTCAGTGTTACAAAACTTGCATTGGCTTATGGGTTTTTCCCTGCCAGCAGCTTTTACCTCTGGTGTCTCAGGGCACAGGCTGTACTCACAATTAACATGATCACCAGCAAGTTCTTCTTTGCCACCTGGGCGTGAGAGAAGATGCTCTCCAGCACAGGTGTCATGTCGGGTTTGCACTGCTCCCGCAGGCTGATAACACACTTGTCATAATGAGCTGTGGGGCAGAGCAAGATGAGCCCTGCAGACACCTAGAGGGGCCTGCACAACCCCCAGAAAGCCCCCAGCCCCTCACCATGCTGGAACTGTGTCTCCACTTGCAGGTAGCGTCTCAGCAGATCCAACACCACCGTTTTCATGTAGCCCCGGATGCCGCTGCGGTACCTGGGGAGCAGAAAAGCCCAGAGTGCTGGGAGGAGGTGACAGTAGTGGGAGTATCACAGGGGGTCACGTGCAGTGCAGAGCTCACCTCTGCACGAGCTGCACCACGCTCTGTGTGTTCATGAAGAAGACCTCCCGCTCAGACTTCCTTTGCAGGGTGGCTGCGTGGGTGTCCAGCACGTTGGCGATCTGCAGGGAGAGGGCACAGGATCCAGGGGAGCTCAGAGCCAGAGCGGGGGCAGGACTGCCAGCTCCCTGGCTGGCCTGGGGACAGGGCTGCTGCACCCAGAGCCTTTCCTTGATGTTTTCCCCACACACACCCAAGAGAAGAATGAAAGGGAACAAATAAATACAGAAACAGAAAAATGAAAACAGAAAAAAACAACAAACAAGCATAAAATTACAAACAAAAACCCACAAATGTTGCCCTCACTCATTTAATTTTTTTAAGACATCCCTTGGCAGGACAAATTCAGGCAGGACCTCCTAACTAATTCCAAAAAGGAAGGGCAGGGCAGGCTGGGGAGCAGAGCCCCAGCCCTGCTCACCTGCTGGCTGGGGAAGCGGCAGAGCACCGAGGTGATGTTGCTGGCGTACTGCGCCATCACCTTCCGGATCGCCTTCTCCACGGAGAGTGGGATTCTTCCTGAAATGCTTGTCATGATCTCCTGCAGCTCCAGGAGGGGCAGGGAGGGGTCCCGCAGGGTCTTCATCAGCTGCTCCACCCACTCCTTTACCTGCAGGGAGCAGAAGCTGGTGCTGCCTGCACCCACCAACACATGGCCTGTCTTGCCATCATGGCAAATGTGAGGCAATGGAGCAGGGCACCTGGAACACCCTTGGTGCAGCACCCACCTTAGTGCTGAAGTAGGGCTCAGGTAGGCAGTACCCATTCATGATGTTGGTGAGATTGTCCAGCACATTGCGAAGAACCTGGTGCTGCTTGTCACCAGTGATGGGGAGGGTCTGCTGGGCTGGCAACCCCCCCAAGAATGGCTGTGCCTGGAGAGAGAAGAGGGAGGTGGGCTGACCCAGGTCCTTGCTGACATGGCATGGAGCACCCTAAGAGCTGCAGCTGCCCCAGAGAAGCCAGCACAACCCCTGCAGCGTCTGCTTTTGGTTAGATACAGAGGAGGCACCTAATGCTCAGCTTTGTGTCTCTGCCAGTGTCACATTGTGAAACCGATACAGAAACGCTGGAGGTGTAGGCAGAGTCCTATTAATACACTGACCAGTTGATGTGAGATTCTGCACACTAAGTATGTGTGTGATGTTTACAAACAGCAACACCATGGCACATGGAGAAGCAACCCAAGCCCCAGCACAGGTGGCCGAGGGATATGACACAGCCATACAAGTGTCACCTTGTGCCAGCATGGGGACACATCCCCGCTGATGTCCCAGTCAGGGCATCTCCTCCATTTTGTCCCCCCAACAAGCTTCCACAGGCCTCCCTGGGGTGCCATTGGTGAGAGGATGAGAGGGGACATCAGCACGGGCAGCCCCCAGCAGACTCACAGGCTTCACTTTGGTGGGATCATCCAGCTCCAGCCGGGCTATGACACAGCCCACCTCCAGCAGCGCGCCCGGCCGCTTGACGTAGTGCACCCGCCCCGCCTCCTCCACCGTCAGTGTCATGATGATCTTCATCACCTGGGCGAGGGTGGGTGAAACCATCACTGAGCAAGCAGCATCCATGTGCTGCAGAGAGGGCAGCATCAGTGGGTTCCTTCTTTGCCACCCCCCAGCATCACAGGAAAGCTGGTCCTTCCAGGCTCTTCTGCAAAACTCACCTCGATCTCTGCAAAAACACTGCCCTCAGCCACGTGCCCACCATCATCCACCGTGTACTGCAGCAGCTTCCCTGCCGAGGGCGAGCGCAGCACCGTCGGGTCCTTCTCCTTCTCAAAGTCACAGGTTTTGTTCCCAATGGTGATGCGGTATCTTAAAAGAGAGGGAAAGGCCTCACCAACTGATCAGCAGGGAGGACCAGCGGGGGCGCAGCGAGGAGGTACCTGTCGATCTCCTCCTTCATGTAGGTGGTGTAGCTGTTGCCGTGGTAGGAGAGCAGCAGCCCGCCGTCGTTCAGGCGGTGCACGTCGATCTCCAGGTGGGTGCAGTTCATGATGATGACATAAGTGGTCAGGGACTGGCGGGCAACCTGCGGGCAGCAGCCAGGGACAGCCCTCAGTGCAACCCCCAAAACGTGTGCAATGGCCTTTTGGGGGCTGGTGGGAATGGCTGGGGGTAAGAAGCATCTCCCCAAGCTTGGTGCAAGGGCTAGTGCAGGAGCAGCACGGTGCCACGGGACAGGCTGTGCTGGGGAGGGCAGAAGGCAGCAACCTCATGCTGCACCCAGGAGCCAATTAACTCACAGCCCACAGCTGGTTAACTCGTGGCTCACCTGCTGCTTTTGTTGTGAGTAGGGAGTTTTTGCATGAAGTTCAACTGAGTTTAAAAGCAAGAAAAGGAGCTTCTTTATTAACCTCAGGGCAACAGGATGTATGAAAACGCCTCTCTAGCTGAGGTTATTAACCCCATTTTTATGTTGCATATTTTGAAAGGACAACCTCACATTGATTGCATCTTTCTCCTTCAGGACAGGAGCACATGTTCCTGTTCCTGCGAGCCAGTTCAGCACGAGCACAGCCCAGC